CTCCGACCGGCTTTAAAGGGTTAACACATTAGCTGGTGAGTGGAAATGAACGACTTCAAGTCCAATCAAGTTTTGGCCATAATGAAAGGGAGACCACTTTGCTACACTCTTACTTCTTGAATCTTATCAGTTATGTTTCTCACTACCTTCAATTCTCAAGTGTTGATGACGTGACACTGACTGTCTGTATTTTCTAAACCTCCTTTATGATTTTTGCACATACTGACCTTCAGCTTAGTGAGTCCAGAAAAGGTGTGATCACTCAGAGAGTTGATAGCGTTGTTTTCCAGGTAGAGTCCAGTCAGACCTGGGCAGGCAGAGAAGGAGCCGTCAGGGAGGGAGGTCAGACGGTTTGACCCCAGCCTGAGGACACTAAGTGTGGGGAGAATGGGACTAGCAGTCGGGGTTACCTCTGGAACCTGGAGAACAAAACATCCCTTTGTATTAGAAGCTGACTAACTTCATGTTTTTTAAGATTCATTTACAACCACTGTTGACTTTGTGGCCACTGTGCAGGCAGACAGAAACCTTGTTTCCTGTGAGGTCGATCTCATAGATCTCTGGGAAGACCTGGAAGGAGGACCAGGACAGACTGGAGAACAGGTTACTGGGAAACAACAGGACCTAAAGATAGACAGAAAACGTGGAAGCCTTTAGAGCTGTGGTGGTTTCCTGTAAAGTGTCATCTCTTAAACAGGAAATTTGTGTCTCCGCTTTGGTCTCCTCCTGTCAGTCAAACACTTCATCCATTATGGGATTGAAACTTTTTTTTCAACACTTTAAACAAAATTTTCACATTTTCCTCACTGCATGTGTTAAAATAAAGAGTGTGTAGCTGTGTAAGTGTACGGTAATTGTCTAGCTGCATGGAGAGATTAGCTAAACGTTTTTGATATTGGCTGTCAGGCTTAGCTGCAGTTGTCACAGCGGAAAGTCTACAAATCCCAGATAATCATTTGCTTCTTGACAAAGATCCAAAATGGTCAGTTTGTCAAAACAAAGATAATAAAAAGTAAAGAGCAAGACAAGAATTTCTTCATAAATATTGTAATTACGAGAAACGAAGTCACATTAAGCAGGCCTTCAATATTTGGGTTTTACATTTTAGTAAATCCTTTGTATTTATTGGGAAAGTAAAATATGCTCACCGAATAAAATACCTACTTATAATGTACTGGTGTAACAAATGTAACAGAATGCTGCTGGTTTTTAAAGTTTGTTCAACTTCCTAAATTTTCATTCATGTCCTTTGTCCATTTTCTACTTTATCAAATTATTATTAATATTTACAGGTGTATCTTTTCTATTCACTAAATGTTAATTCGTCATCATTAGTATATTACTAGTTTAAGCAGTTGTAAGAAAGACATTTCTCTGCAGAAATTAATTAAACTCAGCTCATTCTGAAATTTCATTTTAAAGATCAACATCAAGCCAATTACAATAAAATAATAATAATAAAAATAAATCGAAGGATTTATGTTTGTCATAATAAACATGTTTGTTTATTAGTCACATGTTTTTAACTCATTCATCATCATTCTAATTTGTTTAAATTAAATTTGATGTCTTAAAATGGTTTAATCGAATTACAGAATGAAACTATAAATATAATTTCACACTCACAGTTTTTAAAAAAAATTAAACTGAGTTATTTCCTCCACACTTGACTTCCTGTGGTTTGTGGCATTACCATTGTCGTACGTTCAAGCCCCACTGGGACGGCGCTGAAGCCGGCTGCTGTGCAGTTCTCCCTGGGCCAGTGGTCCCTGTCCCGGTCACTGCGGCAACCGGCCACTGCTACGCCCATGGAAACACAGGACAGGAGGATGAGAAGGAGGAGGAGGTGCCGCATCTTCACTGAGACTCTCAGAGACTGTCGGTGTGTCTCAGTCTTAGAGAAGAGATGGAGAAAGTGAAGGAGGAGATGCCTGGTAGAACAGGAAGTGTGCACTTCCTGTGTACGTGTGTGTGTTTTGACTGACAGCTGCTGAAGGAGGAAGTGTGATAACTGTTCAGTTGACAGATTGTGTATGTTTGACTCTCCAGCCTCACGGCATGTGTGTTTCGATTTTTTCATGTAGTCTTCTCGACAGCTTCCTCTTTGAGTGTTTCGCATAATGTTTACTTGCATGTTCAAACTTCCTGCTGTTGTGAACCAGAGTCGATAAGGATGTTCTGAAGCATTCTGACAGCAGAGCTGCCAGCACTGATGTGTGGCTTACTGCAGGAAATCTGCTGAGTCAAGCGGTCTCTGTTTGAGTTAAATCCAACTGATGCGGGGTGAAAAAATAAGGTGTGTTACATTTGAAACTTCGCTGAAGTAAAGTTGGATCTGCTAAAGTGAATAAACACAGTGTATGGCTGCAATGAACCCCATCTCCTCCATGTAAGAAAAGGAGAAAGTCTTCTTCACATCGATCCCAAAGGCAGTACTGATGTAGCCTCGGAGTAGAGCTGCTCGTCCTGAGTGTCAAATTGTGCCATTTGAGGTTGTCAGGACATTGTGAATACCCAACGCTGGACAAGGAAAAGATGATGGCTCAATGGGTAGAAGGATACTTTGTGACCGCTGTTAACACAGTTTAACAAAGACATGTCAACCTGGCAACAGAGAAAATTGAGTTTTTAAAATAGAGGCAACCCAACCTTACCAGTATTCATAACACTACGCTTCATTTATGTGAATCTATGAATAGTTGAAGCTGTAGAAAACTGAAGTGGCCATTCTGCAGTATTAAATAGGTAAAAATGCTGTCAGCAAACAAACCAAATGTAACATATTTTTGCAGGGAGCTAAAGAACATGAACATTGTTCACATGGCCTCTTCAGCAAGCTTGACCCTGTAACTTTCTAAGCTGGATCTGCATCCATAACGCCAACGTTCCTGGATGGGGTCCACCTCCCTGGTCCACAAAGAAAACAGCCAGGATACCACACGGAGGTGCAGGTGAGGTTGAGGTGATTTGGCCAAGTGGTTTGGTTGCCTCCTGGGCAACTCCAATTGGTGATTTTCCAGACAGGAAAGGAAGAGACCCCAGGGTAAACCGAGGAACCTTTGGTTTCACAACAGAGAACAGAGATTCTCAGGTAGTTTCTGGAGCTACAGGAAAAGCTGGAGTGGTTGATAGAATTGACTTCAATTTAGTTAAAATGAAAAAAAAAATAAATAAAATTTGTGAGTTTGGGACTCAAATTTAAAGCACATGGATTTGACTTCTAACAAAGCAACACTACTGCAGATTGGAAGATACACCTGAAAAAGCTTGTTTTACAAGAGAATACAAAGATGCATTGATCTAAACTAGTGTTTTGTTTCCAGGTAAAGGTTCCTGCTTCTGACTGGCAACTGCTGTTCCGTTATCTTGTTTTTATATTAGCTTGCATTTTTTTAAATTCATATAAATGCATTAAGTGCTACCTGGGAAGAGACCCTGATGTAAATCCAGAATTCAGTGGAAAATTTCTATATGACATCTGGTCTGAAACCCCTCTTGGGAATCCCCTAAGAGCGACTGTGCTTAGTCCACTGCCACTGTGACATTGCCTTAAAGGGGAAATCATTAACATACAGATGAATTCTACGTCACATTATGCACACAAAAAATGCATAAATGAACAGCTCTTTTTGCTTGTGATCTTTGCAACAAAAAATACTTTCTGCTTTGTCGTTTCTATTCTATCCGAGTTATCATTTCTATTCTAGGACTCATTTAAAGCAACTCTTAAATGGGGAAACTTGTTTGCACCCTGGAAAAACACATTGTTGCCATCCATAAATTAAACTTCTGGGTTATTACTTAACAATTTTCACTTACTACCACAAACTAATAGGAAAAGTTATTTTCTCAAACAGGCAGTGGATCTGGACCAGTAAACAGCAGGCTCATTTTTGTCATGGAAATCATTTAACAACCAGAAGATGCCCCCTGCAGGCCACTAGAAATTATGCAGTTTTAAGACACTTGAGCATTCCCCTCAGACCTGGAAACTACACCCACATTAATGTTTTGTTTTGTTTGTTTGTTTGAGTGCACTGACACCTCTCAGCTTCCATAGCCATCCTTCATGGATGAAGACCCAATAAAAACACAAGAAGTGAGTCTTATTTTGAATCTTGGAGACAGTTTATTGCCATCATGTTGTCTGCAGGTAGAGCCTGAGATTGGTTCCTGATACAACCAAAACAACAACAAAAGACAACCCAACACATACAGAGAGAAAACAACAACAATAACAAAAAAGCAACTGAGGGGGTCTGGGCCAACAGGAAGAGGGCTACACCATGATGTCATCATATCCATATCCGTGTTTCGAGTTCTGAAGCGGCAACACGCCGTAATGTCACAGATTCTGAGGTCATGATTAGAGCAGAGGTGCAGGGAATGGGCACAGCCTGTCAGTGAGGGGAGTTCTAGAATGTTCTGGAATTCTGCTGAGTCATGGCTGCTATGGCAACACCCCACCCCCTCCAAGTCCCTCCCCCATTCCACCTCAAAAAACAACACAACTAACCAAAGAAAAAGAATAATGACTAAAATCAGCTTTATGAAGTAAAACAAACTTTACTGTTTGATTCTAAGTTAACCCACAAACACACAAACA